TCTGGTCTTGTTGAGATATATAGTTGAGTATCATCAGCATAACAGTGGAAACTAATCCCGTATTTTCTAATAATATTACCAAGGGGCAACATGTATATTGAAAATAGCAGAGGACCGTGGACAGATCCTTGTTGCACTCCATACTTTACTGGTGATAATTGAGATGACTCCCCATTTAAATAAACAAAGTGGTAGCAATCGAACAGGTAGGATCTAAACTAGTCTCGCGTAGCCAGACTTTCAGACCGACGGCTGAAGGTCTGGAATCCATGGCAGCTTTCATTGGCCAAGGCCCGCCCATGAGGCCATTTGACCCACATGTCAAACAACCAATCACAGTTCGTTTCGTTCATTGTCACGTTTCAGGGTTTGGAAATGTCGCCACAATAACAGACCGGTGTGTAAAACTCTCGGACGTATTTTAAAGATTCTATGTCGCGAACTTTACATTTTTCACATACTTTTGAAAATCCAGCGTTTAGTTGATCCTGATAAGCGCTCGTGGTCACAGCTGTAAACATGACGGCTTTCTTCTTTCATGAGGGGGTTTGGTGTCACAGCATCTTTGTTTCCAGGCGGAACATTAAAGAACGCGACACACGTCTCCCGGAAATCCTGTATAATTAAACCAATCCGATGAGACTTCGAAACTCCTGAAGTGTTTCCACTTTTGTGTGCCATATGTATCGGACGTTTAGCCAACGGTCCGTGGGCGTGACATCTGAGGCTGAGACTAGATCTAAACCATCTTAAAGCCTGCCCTTGAATACCTGTATAGTTTTGTAATCGATCTATGAGTATGTCATGATCTATGGTGTCGAACGCAGCACTAAGATCAAGTAAAACTAGCAATGACGCAAGAAGCAAGTCATTTGTAATTTTAACAAGTGCAGTTGTTTTTGTAATTTTAACAAGTGCAGACCTTGTCTCCTAGACAGCCACCGGGACAAGACCACGGAAACCAGATGAGTCCTCTGCACAATGTGACTTTGCTGCAGCATGGATCAACCTGCTGGTTCCTCTTGGCAGAGGAGAACTGACCCCCGACTGAGCCTGGTTTCTCCCAAGTTTTTTTTCTCAATTCTGTCACCGATGGAGTTTTGGTTCCTTGCCATCTCTGGCTTGCTTAGTTGGGGACACTTAATTTCCAGCGATATCGTCGTCTTGATTTCACAGATACTATTTAAACTGAACTGAGCTGGACGATGGCATCACTGAATTAAATGATGCACTGCCTTTAATTGAAAATTGAGTGTTTACTATTGTCCTTTAGCATTATTGACACACTATTTTCCTATGATACTGTAAAGCTGCTTTGACATTATCTGTATTGTTAAAAGCTCTATATAAATAAAGATGACTTGACATGACTTATGGAGAAGTAACGCACACGAGAAGGGCTTCCATGAAGCACGTCTGGCTCTTGATAAAAATACTAGAGGATGTAACACTGATAGATCATTACAATTAATGACCATGAGCGCTTGTGGTGCGAACCACTTCATTGTTTTGATGTGCTGCTCAATTTATTGAGAAATGGTATAATGGTGCCTCCATTGTCTCGCGGTCCAGTTGGAACCAAGCTGGGGACCAGACCCCGACGGTGGTCCACCATTTGAATGGCTTGATAAAATGAATATTACCGTTTATATAATCTGCATTACTTAGTGTTAAAAGTAACATTTAAATCAACTGCAAATAAAAGAATATTAAATCTATAAAACTCTCAGCAGGTAATGATTAAACTAATTAAAAACAGCATTACCAGCTTCACTTATAAAACCAGTTTATTTTCTTCATGTAGCTACAAAGGTCCTTGAAATATGAATACATCAAGGCAGCCCTGATATAAACTGCAGGAGCAGAGATAATCCAGTCATCTAGTTCTGGTGCAGCATCACAACACTCCTTACACTGAGAATGAGTTGCTCTGGTGTGGTGGTAGTTTGCTGGACCTTACAGATAAAAAATGACCCATGTTGCTTACCATTTAAGATTCCATTATGAAATCAAACGTACCTACAGCAACAGAGATGGCATGCTTGGGCTAAAGACAAACATGACAGACAAACTGACAGGAAGAAAGAGCTCAGGTGAAAACACAAAACACTCTCTAGTTATCTGTAAGCGTTTGGCTTCCATTACATTTCCTCCCATTATATTCCCATGTTCACACTTAATGGGACCCCACTTATTACGCCACACATCCATATTTGATTACCTATTTGACTGCAACTTAGAATCATTGCCTACATAGTATTTTCTTTTTATCACTTTATTTCGCTGCTCTTCACTATTACATATTACAATCAATGCTCCATCTTGAAGTACTTTTGCACACTTGATCTCATCTGCTTGTTTCAACGCATTTGTTAATGCAATTACACTTTTTACACCGTACCCCTTTAAATCGCACTATAATTTTTAATTCATCCCCTTCTTTATTGATTCCTTTTTACTATCACCAGCACTGCTTACTAAGTCTTCTTCATTTTTTTTCCCTCCTAGACTTACTCAAGTTTATATGTAAATTGCACAAACATATTTTATTTATTTGAATGAAAGATCTGAAAGATCCCATGCATTTAAGTTTCAAGATCAAGTTTCACATTTAATTTATTTATATAGCACCATTTAAAACAGCAGCAGCTGACCAATGGGCTTTACAGCTTAAAATAAAATTAGTAAATAAAACATAAAAAAAAAAAACTCCCCTTGAAAAAATGGGGACAGAAGTGATACAGAGACAGTATATTTGTGATCCGACCAAACAAAACACATTTTAAACCCAGGTGTAAACCAAGCCCAAATCCGCTGCTCAGCTATTTTGAACTATATCAGTAGGCCGTTTCCATTACAGATTTGCGCAAAACTTTGGCGATATTTTATAAATGTCGATTAAAAACAAGTATTGTTATGCGACTAAAACATAACCTTTTGCCTCTCACGATAAGTCATGGCAACAGATTTTGGTGGGATTTTAATGGATTTTGGCTATATTTATCCAAAGGAGGCGTATGCGTGTATCTTTACAGAAGCAGCACAGAGAGCCGCTTCAGAAACATGCGTGGCGCGGCTGGATTCTGGAATAAACACAAGCATTGTGGCCGCATTCAGCTTCAGTGGCCGTATCAGAGCCACACTGCACCGCAGACGTGTGCAGTGTAAATTGTCTAAGCATTAATGGTAAAGAAAGCCCCTTATACTGGAGAGCGGTATATGTGTGTTGGAAGTGATTGTGACACGTATGAAGTGTTTCTTGGAGGTTATAGTACATTGAAGAATGATCATATGACTTTTTACATACGCCATGTGACCTGTAAATGCGAAAAAGCCGTTTCCATTGCACTTTTGCGAATTATTCCTTTTTCGCATTGCCTGAAAAACCACCTCATGCAAGCGTAAAAACTTTTTTGCGATATATGGGTGTTTTTGCGAAATTGATGCGTTTCCATTAGGAATATTTTCAATTTGCGCAATTTGAAGGGTAATGGAAACGCGCTTCGTGATGCTTCTGTGAACCTCAAGATTGTCTTGTTTCTTTAAGTCTTTCCACAGTGATGGCACAGCAAAGGCTTCTCTCTGGTGTTATTACATGACTCATCTCACACTGATAACGTAGAAATACAGTTCTCTCATATGTGAAACCTCATGTGGTACTTAAGTCCTGCTCGATATCCGTAACTCTTTCCACAGTGACCACATATAAACGGCTTCTCTCCAGTGTGAACAGTCATGTGCCTGTCAAGGTTTCCTTTTTGACGGAAACATTTTCCACATTGCTGGCAGGTGAAAGGCTTCTCTCCAGTGTGAATTCTTATGTGGTCTTCAAAGCGTCCTTTATGATTAAACCACTTTCCACACTCAGGGCATATGTAGGGTTTCTCTCTACGAGTTCTCATGTGGACTTCAAGGATGTCATGTTGATCAAAACTATCTCCACACTGATCATATGTGTAAGGCTGCTCTCCATAGTGAATTCTCATATGGCAACTTAGATTTCCTTTCCGGTTGAAACTTCTTCCACACTGTTGGCATTTGTAAGGCTTCTCTCCAGTGTGAACACTCATGTGGGCTCCAAGGTGTCCCGGTTGAGTGAAACTCCTTCCACACTGTTGGCATGTGTATGGCTTCTCTCCAGTGTGAATTCTAATGTGTCTTTTAAGACTTACTCTATGACTGAAATGCTTTCCACACTGTTGGCAAGCATAAGGCTTCTCTCCTGTGTGAACTCTCATGTGGACTCCAAGGTGTCGAGGGTGAGTAAAACTCCTTCCACACTGTTGGCATGCGTATAGCTTCTCTCCCGTGTGAATACTCATGTGTCTTTTAATACTTTCTGTTTGACTGAAACCCTTTCCATACTGTTGGCAGGTGAAATAACTTCTTCCTGTCTTTTGAGCCCTTTTTCTTGAGGAAGTCTTTTCAGTCTCTGAACAACTAAAAGATTTTTCTCCATTTATGAAATCATGATCTTTCTCTTCCATTTCATTCAGTACTTCACTCTTCTCTTTCAGTGCCATCAGGTCTAAGGTAAACAAAAATAAAAGTTAACCCCAGTTTAATGACACAAAACAACAGACATCAAAACATTTAAATATGTAAAGTGTCAAAACTAACATACAACTGCATCTTATATCCACTAAGCAACTGCAAGAGGTGTTGCATGTAATCTAAAAAACCCTTCTCAATCTTGCTAACTCTTCACTTATTTAGGACGTCTCAAAAACTTATCAAGCTTGCATTGAAACCCTCTATTTAAAAAATGAAATAAAATAAGTTTGACCCAGGAGATCTAACAAGGGGCCAAGGACCGAGGGCAGGCACCTATTGTAATAATTGGTGTTCTTCTTTCAAATTTTTGAACTGCAGAAGCAAAATAATTTTTTCCCTCTAATTCTTTAACTTTGTCCAAGTTAATGTTCCTAAAAGTAAATTTTAAAATACCGTTGACAGACATATTAATAGATCGCATTTCCCAGAAGTTTTGGTCTATTTTAACCTTGGAAAATGTTTTTTTTTAATTAACGCCAGGTGTTCTTTGTTAAGTGCATTTCATCTTGAGTGTGCTTTTTCACGGGCCTGATAATTAAGTTGTATTTTGTGAAGTTCCATGTGCATTTCATCTTGTTTTCTTTATTTTACAAAAGTACAACGTTTTGTTGATAATGTGAGTACACAAATAAAAGTAGATTCTTTACAGTTTCAAATTATGTTTTCTGCATGTATCTGCATGAACACAAATGATGGCATAAAAAAATACCAATAATCTCTCCAGCACCTTCATGTCATGCAGTAAACATGCTAATAGCTTCCAAACTCTGCGCAAGCACCCGGAAATGCACCCTAATAGCGCACAATTATCTAGGTTAAAGTTAAGAGCGAGTGGCCGTGTAAAACTGCCACTACTTACTTCAAAATGTTAAGCCATATGTGAGATTAATGAATGATAGGAGACTGTCTTGATTTCCTGCCTAATACACTGTAATTACCTCAAGGAGCAGCTGTTAATGATCTCTCCGTCACGGACACGAACCATTTAATTCTGAGACTAACCGACTAATAAAATGTTAGTCGACTAAGCCTCTTCTCGTCGACTAAAATTCAGTAGACTATTAGGGAGCAGCCCTAGTCGATGAAAGCAACTGCTGTCGCCAGAGTTTATTTTGCTTATGTCAGCATGATATCAGAGCAAGTTAGACAACTTTTATTTATCTATTTCATATGCAAAAATGTTACTCAGTCCTAGCAGTGAACATGGACATTTAAATATGAAGTGAGACACAACCTTTTAAAAGCTTCTTTTTTTTTTTTTTTTTTAGGAAACTGTAATATAGTGAAATATTACTACAATTTAAAATACCTTTTTTCCATTTTAATCAGCAGCCATTACTCCAATCTTCTTTTTTTTTTTTTTTTTTAAATCAGAGCGCTAAAATAAGAGTAAAAAATGGCCTTTAAGAGAACTTTAAGAAAAAAAGTGAAGCTGAAATCCTTTCAAAAAAGAGAGCTGCAGGAGGGCAGACAGTGTACAAAAACCTGCCAAAGGCAAATCAATTGAGAAAATGTACAGGACAGTTCATAAGATAGTTTAGCTTTGAGAATGAAAACCAACCTCTTTGTTCCTCAGTATCTTCATGTTTGTCTCTGAATGTTTCTTTAGTCTTCACGTCTTCACTCTCCTCTTTAATAAACGCCATCTTTATAATCGTGTGTCACGTGGATCTCAGTCGCATCAGCAAGAGTTTTCCTGTGTGTTTGAACACTTTGTCCTGTTTAGATGAGAACAATTAACAGAAAAAATAAAAAATAAAATAAATAAATCTCTGGGTGCGTCTCAATTAGCTCTCTAGTTCGGTAGTCAGTGCATTGGTAAGGGAGTCAGAGTGATAGTTAATGGACTTAAACAAGCCCGGATTAAGAGCACATAGGGCCCTGGAGCTATAGCAAACCCAAGAGCCCCCCTTCATAGTAGCCTTTCTTGGTGCCACAACGTTTTCTACGACAGGAATAATTCGTTTTTGTTTTTTAAAATCAAATCTCCAACACACAGAGATACGAGTATGCACACTAAATATTCCTGGCTACAACACATTAAAGGGGTCATATTATGTTGCTAAAAAGAACATTATTTTGTGTATTTGGTGTAATGAAATGTGTTTATGCGGTTTAAGGTTCAAAAAACACATTATTTTCCACATACTGTACATTATTGTTTCTCCTCTATGCCCCGCCTTTTTGAAACACGTAGATTTTTACAAAGCTCATCGGTCTGAAAAGCGAGGTGTGCTGTGATTGGCCAGCTATCCAGTGCGTTGTGATTGGCCGAATTCCTCAAGTGTGTGACGGAAATGTTACGCCCCTTGCAGGGCTCTACGCTTATATCGGCTAAACAATATATCGCTCGGGCTCTAGTTTGAATAAATCCGTCCAAGTTTTTATGACAGCCACTATTTAAATGTGTGTATTTAAATAAAAAAAAAAAACTAACTGAAGTAATTGTAACTTATTATAAAAACTTCATTAAGTGCAATTTAAGCAGTTGTACAGCACAAATCAGTCTATTTTAACCTTCAATATTATAATATAGTACCAACTGACTCTCATCTAGCTATATTTTACAGCATTAGTTGAGATTTTTGTTCCTTGAGAAAATTTGGCATGTACTGTACCTGATATGTAGCCAAAATAATCGATATTGAATCGAATCGAATTGCAAGTTTGTGAATGAGAATCGAATGGTGAAATTTGTGTCAAAACCCAGCCCTAATACAAACTATAACAATGATAATCTCAGGTACTGATTATGTGCTATATTCAATGCTAAAAGTGTCTAATGTGAGTTTGAATATCATTTTGCATGGTATTTATAGCCATACTGAAAACAACAGATAGTTACCTCAGATATAAAAAAAAATTAAAGCAAACATGTACGTTAAAACTGTGAACACAATGCGAACCAACAAGTGTATTCCATAAAGATGGTAGTAGTCACTTAGTATGTAGTTTTAATAATGTTAAAAAGGTTTAGCCTCATATTTATAAATTAGATTATAAACTTGTTATTTCGTTGGGAGTGCAGTGAGTTTCTGCGCTTCTAAATGGCTGTGGAATTTGATCGATTCTGTCACGTCTCAACCCTCTACATTGTGAGTAAATCACTCGCATATGCAACTAAATCTTCACTCTGAGCGATTAAATTATGTCTAATATTAGCCAATGGCTAATAAATTCTCAGATTTTACTCGCCAGTGTGTGAGTTGGAGGCTAAGTATAAGTTTAGCTCAGATATATTTTCACTCGCCGAACACTCTCTGACTGAGCGCTTCTGAAGGCGCACGACTCGCCGTCGCTTTGTTTCACACACACGCAGAGAGAGAATTGACGTGCTACATGTAAACGATATTCTTTGTTGTATTTTCTTGTCAAAATAACGGACTTCCTTTGGAATTCTTCAGTGTTTTAAGAACTGCCGCTTTCTCCGGTAGTGGGCGGAACTAATGCGCAAACGACAATCTCATTGGCTGGCGCTCACCTATTATCGTCCCTGTTTAGATTTCAGCGAATCAGTTCGAGCGAATGCACACTACCTGATTAATATTCATGGATCCAGTAGCTCATTAATCCTTAGTGCGTTTTATATTGTTATTATACACTAATGACCAAAAAAGCACCACCACCAGTCCAGTTAAAATGTTCAGATAAAATGACTAATATGCATTTAAACATGGTTATCAAGTTTTAATTCTAATTACTAAAGTTCTATCATTAAATAATACTTGATCATCATATTATAATGCTTGACTGACTGATGTTAAGAGTGTACTTTCAGATATTTAAAAAACTGTGCCATTTTACAAACATTTATTATATATATATACACAATTTATATATACACCTGTATGTATGCATGTATGCATGTGTATATATATATATCAGTCTGGCGAGTGAACTAAAAAATGTACTAGCCAATGGCGATTCAATTGCCAAGGTGTCCGTAGTGGGTTGCGTCTGGTTAGGACACGGTTTAAGAGTGGAGGCATCTTATCGTGTTGCAAAGCTCATCGAAAAAAGCTGTAAAACCTCACACAATTGGTGAAAATTAGATTTTACCTGCGCGACACAAATAGCAGGTGTATTTAAATTTTTATTTAAAAATGTAACATATGTGTTTGGTCTTGTGGGCCGTGAGTTAAAAAATGTTGGGAAGCACTGGATTACACGTTTAAAAATTGCTACAACAAAAACACATCTGCAATTGTTTGTAAAAGTTGTCATTACACATTTGTGTTTGTTGTTCTCGTTGCATTTACACGGTTTTGAGCAGCAGGTCTCGTCAGCGAGCGGTTATTCGAGCGATTCGAATCACTGAATCATTTTGTGAAGCAACTGAATCGACTTACTCTGGAGTTTCAAAAAGATCCGTTTACGATTATCTGAATCACTACTCAGGGATGCGCTTTACTCACACAAAATAACGTTCATTATTATATAAAATAGTGATGTGACATTCGCCGAGGCTTCGAAGCTTGTATAAAAAAAAAAACCGAAGCATCTCGCAGTGAAGCGCTGTACTGGAGCTTGATTCGTTTCGCCAAAACCATGTGATCCGTGACGACCGAAGCCTCGTTTTCGCACACAACCACGTGACTGCTTCGTATTCTGCTTCAAATAACGCAAACCACTTGCGCAGTTTCAAGTGTCACTCACTTCTTTGATACGAATAAATCATAATACGAATAAAT